AAAAGGTTTGACTCATTGGAATTTTAGTTTTAGGCGTTAATCGTATTATTTTACTTCAACTTGCATCTTTCCTTGATTCTTTCATTATAAATAATCCGAAGAGTAAAACTATTTGCGAGTATGCGCATGTGCAGAGTGGGTCCACAGTGCTAGAAATATCCCATATGAAACATCAGCAGTTCATTTCCTCATATGAATAGCCAATGTGGTCTTCATTTTACAAGAACATTGTACTTGTTAGTTTCGTTTAACGGTCGTAAGTGAATGACGTAAGACGATCGATAAACGTTTAATTATCCATCTGCTAACATCTTACTGAACGAGTGAGCAAGTGAGTGAGTGACACATTTGCATATTCAGACCCCTCACAATAACTCGTTTCTACGCTTCGCGTATCCACGAGTTAAAAGGTTAACGATATGAAAAGTTGTCATTATACAATTCTGTTTTCAGAGCTTTCCTTGAATGGTGTAAACATCGGGGATATGAGGTCGAGAACAAGGTAAACTAATTTTTGGGCTGATAGGCTCAATCCACTGTTTTTCCATTTCATAACATGTGTCATTCACTTGAGTATTATTACTTTTCGAACAACATAACACGCTTGTAAAGAAACATCAATACAATACGAAAAATACTTAAAACCAAGAATGGCTTATTCTCGAGAGAGTGAAATAGTCTGAAATTGGAAAACATTGCGTCCAATTGATAATAATGATGACGAAGGCGGAGATGATGACTTTGTTGATGATGATGATACATGACGGTTGTGATGATGATGATATTCAATCAAGTTATTTTGAACCATTCCACTAAAATAGGGGTTGGGCTACTTGGTACCAACCACCACTGGAAGTGGATTTTATCTTCAAATATCTCCAAAAGTAAAAGTAAAATAGCAGAACTTAGATGTTTTGTACGTATGCTGAACAACGTACCCAGTATTATGTAAATCAATAAAGTCTGATCCTTATTTAGAACGATTCTTTTGACCTTACCCCAAGCCACACACTAAATTAAACTTAAAAATAGCCATTGTTGACTTGATTGCATTAATGACATCAGTTGCAGGAGCCAAGAGATCCAAGAACCGACCAAAACCCAAACGGTCAAGTCGAAGAAGATGACGATCTTCATGATCCTGATGACCCTCCACCCGTCGCCTGCTAATCTACGACCAGTTCCCATCACCCTGCATGCACTTATTATCTACCAATATGAATTGTAATTCTGGTTTTTGTAGTTTTGTAGTCTTTCACTGCTTTGATTATTTTATCCACTTACAAGCTTCGTTCAATTCTACCAATAGCGGTCGACCTAATAATTGATGCATAAAGAAACTTTATGAATTTTATGATTTTGCACTTAGCTTTAAGCGAAATTCATCTGTATACTGCTTTCTTAGCCGGAGCAGTTTTCGTATGACTGTGAAAAGCTCGCGGCACGAACACGGTCGTGACACGGCAAGGCATACGCCAAACCAATCACACTGCGCGAGAACTTACACTTCATCCAATCAAATACCCGGAACACGGCATAAACAAGGCGCAGACACGGTCTTAGCCGAGGTCAAGGCACTGCCAGACTAAATACCTTTTGCGCGAGTAAAAATAAGCCCATCAAAATTTTAGAAAACATCCCAAGTCACAGTCGCGACAAGACACGCATATACCTATTTCAAAAACAACACGTTGTCAGTCGGAGATACGGCACCGAGCTTTTCATAGTCATACCAAAACTGGTGTAATCTTGACTTTGTGTTACTTCTGTGCACAAAGATGAAAACTACTACAGTCATTAATGCAAAGTGCACCTAAAAGTTGTTTAACCACATTATGCCCAAAGTAAAAGATTCGCTAAATCTAGAAATTGCTTTTTTGTTTGTTTATTATATAGAAAAAAAATCGTAAGACATTGTTTGAAAAAAGTGTTACCATTCTCGGGATGGGGTCCCAAAAGCATCGAGAAAATAGAAAATTGGTAAAGGAATAACGTTTATTTTAAGGAATGTCTGGAAATGGCAATCAAGGGTGGCGTAGGGGTACGTAGTTCACTCGTCTCATCTCTCGGGTTCGATTCCTAGATCTCAGGTTTCAGTGGCGGATCAAGGGGGGGTCGAAGGGGTCCACAGAACCCCCCTTGAAGGTTTGATCTTTTAGGTAATAGAAACATATGTCTTATATAAATTTTCATAAAAAAATATTAGTAGTTTTGCGTTGGGTCGTGTTCTTATAGCTTGGTCCGTTACTAGATAGTAAATGAGGTGATTAGAGCCAATGTTTTTGTCAAACATCGACTAAACAAAAGAGAATTATACACAAATGGGAAATGGAACCCCCCTTTGAAAAAACCTGGATCCACCACTGGTTTTGATTCCTAGATTCGATTCCTAGATCTCGGGTCCGATTCCTAGATTCGATTTCTAAATCTCGGGTTCGATTCCTAGATTCGGCATTACATGTGAAAAGTGTTTGTTAAGTCTCTCCCTCTTTGATTCGAGGGTTTTTTCCGGGACCCGGGTTCTCCAGTTTTCCTCCCTCCGTAAAATCTATACCAAAGATAAATTCCAATTCGATTTGTGAATTAGCTCTGCCGTACAGGTTGTTTCAGGGTTCGATCTGAGTTATAGCTATGCCCTGACTTAGGCTGACTGAGATCAGCCAAGAGGTTGTTTCAGAGCGTCGAAAATTTGAAGGTTTTTTGAAGGTTTTGGCCGAATCACTTCTAATCAGAAACAATCGAGCTATCAGTCCAGCTATCCTTTTAGTGAGACCAAATAACCCTAAAAAACTATCCAAAACCGTTATCCAGTAAGGCTGGTAAACGGTGTAACGAAATAAAAAAAGTAGTCCCGTACTGCCGTTTGGGGTCTTGGCCGATCTCCCGACCCTTATTGTCCATCATCGGCCTTTCTCCTCGATTAGTTTTGATAACCTTTCTAGAAACAGATATACACTTTTCTTAAATTAACTTTTCTTTAATTCTATTATTTTGAAACATAAAAAATGCTAATATATATTTAGGCACTGCCTAAAAGCGGAGCAGCCCAATACGAAAGTCACAGAGAGAACAATTTGAATGAAACTGAAAGGTAAAAATAAGATCGGGGAAAAAATCTTCAATTATTTTTTATTCGAGATGAAAATAATTTCTCCCATAATAAAAACCATGCAGTGAAATCGAATCAAAATGCAGTACTTTGTTGTTGTTGTTGTTGTTTTGTTTTGTTTTTTTTTTTGCGCGAGTATACTCTCCCACTTAGGAATTTTGTACACAACTCACCACCACCCCCAGGGGCTAGTTTTGTTCTTGGAAGTTTTTATTCGACAAAATTTTCCAAGGCCGACAGTTTTAGGCTTTGAATCTCTTTAACTTAAAAAAAAACGAAAGATCACTACAGATAATCCAATACAATATCAAGTTTAGTGAAATTTACCTCGCATGTCTTTCATTGAAATCGAAAATCTGGAGATTTAGGACAAATCAAGACTAAAAAACAGACCTGGAAACTGGTTAATAAGGTGAGCAGAAAATAAGCTTACTTTAATTACGTCTTTTACAGAACGAGACGAAGTTTACATTCAGTTAAACTTGACAGGAACAACTGAGACAAAATAGAAAGTAATGCGAAAGGCAATGCAAAATACAAAATGACGAATTTCTTGTCAGTAAATTGGCGTTTGTAGAGTGCATTCAGTCAAACTCTTGAATAGTTAGACAAATTTATCTAACTTAGATAACTATTTAATTAGCGTCACCTAAAATAGTAAAAGCGCGCCAAATAACGGTCATGCTAATCCGGGGGGGTTGTTTTACCAGAGAATGAGTGAATAGACATTCATTTGTGTCATCGTTTCTCCCCCTGATCTCAGCAGCTGTTTACTAGTAGTTTCAAATTTAGGTGACGTCACCTAAAATAGTAAATAACTTATCTTATTTAGTTGACGTCAACTATTCAACAGTTTGACTGAATGCACTCTAAATGTTTTAGATAGTAGAGGATATTACATGGGCGCGTGGAGATACGAAATTTATCTTCAAGTGTTGAAAAGATCTCTCATGAGCGAGCGCAGCGAACGAGTGAGAGATTTTCAACACGAGAAGATAGATTTCGTAACTCCAAGCGCCCATGTAATATTCTGTTCATTACATAATTATCCATAAAATCAACTTAATAAGCTTTTTATTATTAGAAAAAGTTTTTATTTATAAACTAATTGCTTAAATACACATGGTAACGATATTTTCACATGTGAAAATAACATGGACCATAGGTATAGAATATGGTAAACTATGCAACTCAGTTTTCGTGGTCATCGCATGGGAACCCTGTGCGTAACGCTAAAAGTGTCGCCCGCCAGGTGTACATTGCGTTTCTGATTGGTCGAGCTTTCAAATCACATTACCGGAAAACGAGCAAACAAACTAGCATGACGAACGAGCGAAAAAAGTACTTGTTTTGTTCTTATGGTTAGAGTATTCGTAGTTCATACATGATATAAAATAATCATTCGAAAAAGCACTTTTTGAATTACACGATTAAGCAAATCCTAAAGATTTTTGACAAAGTTTAAAGCTAAATAACTTTCCTAAAATTACCGGCAAACAAGCAACGAACTAGAATGACAAACGTGCGAAAAAAGTGTACCTGTTTTGTTATTATGGTAAGAGTACTTTCATTTTGAATTTCATTCAATAATTTTATATCTTGCTACAGATAATTTATCTAAATATTGAATGAGTTTAAAATTACACCAAATATTCAACTGCTTATTGAGCTTTTCGACCTAGTACATGATTATAAAAATGAGTTAAATTTGTGTTGTTGTGAGATATGTTATTGTAAGAGCGGTTCCCTGCTAGCAGAGCCTATTTTCCTTTTGTTTTGGTTGAGAGAGAAAAATAGACTCTGCCGATGTAGGACGTTATTTCTGTCGCGCATGCGAGGCGTAACTTAGCAACGCTGTCATGATTTTGACAGCCGCTCTCGTCAAACAATGTTAGGCGCCACGGTGTGTTGCATTTGCTCATGCGCACTACATGTAATCGGTTAAAAACCGGTTTTAAAACTGGTTTTGTTCGTCTACAATCATGGACGGCGGTGTATCAAAGGAAACGCTATACATCGGCAGAGTCTCCTTCCTCCCCGCCTGAAAGAAGGGAGAGAAAGAGAAGAGAGACTCTGCTAGCAGGGAAAAAGAGCGGTACCTTGTCTTTCACTTTCAAAAGCTAAGAAAATATCAAAAAATATTTCCAAATACCAATTTACTGTTGCATTGCATTTTGCGTTATTTTCTATTTTTTGCATTAGTTGTTCTTGTCAAGCATAAATGAATGTAAACTTATTCGGTTTCAAAAACTTTTGTTGTTAACAAGATGAAAACTGGTAAAATTGAATTTTCAAAATCTAGTTAGCTTATATTTTCAAGCTTCTCGAAAAATAGTTTTTTAGACTTTTATGAATGAAATACGGTTCTTGTAAAAACAGAAAGCTTTTGATGTGGATAATTAACCAAACATCGTTATTAGTGTAAAAGAAGTAAAAGTAAGCTTGTGTATTTTGCTCACCTTTTTTTTACCAGTTTTCAAGTCTGTTTCATAGTCCTGATTTGTCCATAAAAGTTCGGAAATCTCCAAAATTTCACTAAACCTGATATTGTATTGGATTATTTGTAGTTATCTTTCTGAGTGTTCTGGCGCAAAGAAAACGATGTAGTGCATTTTGATTCGTTTTCAGTGCATGTTTTTTATTATGGGAGACATTATCTTAATATTAAATAAAAAAATTGAAGATTTTTTTCCGATTTTAATTTTATCTTCCACATTACATGACTTGCCTATCGGGAGCTCCGCTTTTAGGCAGTGCCTAAATATATTTATAACTAGATGCTAGATGAATAGTACGTCTTTCTGATAATTTTCTATTTTTTAAATTGTTGATAATAATGATTAAAGTAAGAGCTAACCGTCACAAAATGTCCGAAAACGTGACTGATATATTTTCAGTTATTCACGTGACGACAAAAGAAGAATACCAAACCAGACATACTATGAGTAAAGACAATATTTCTTTTACGCTGTTACGACAAGTCATTTCTATCTTGGTGGCGATCGTTCGCTTGTCAGTACTACCGTTCTATATGAGTCAGTTCTTGAAACTGTTAATCAATACAGCATCTTGGTCTCATAAAAAATAGATGACTAAATGTTTCGTAAATCCTTGAAACACACATTCTTTTAATAATAGGACGCTTTTGATATCTTAGAATTATTTATCCGCTAAGGTCAGCTGGTGGGAAAATTAGTCACGTGACAACGAAAGCGAACCTGAAAGAATCTAACAATAAGCCGTTTCTATCTTGGTGGCGAGGACAACAAACGATCGTTCGCTTGCTTCCACAGTTTTATATGAGTCAGTTCTTGAAACTGTTTATCAATACATATAAAAACTTGGTCCTATAAATGGCGAAATAAATGTTTTTTTAATCGTTGAAAAGAGCATACCAAACCAGCTTGAAAGATGTCATGGAAACACTGATTGACGCACACTAAAACCCTCCCGATCGTCTGAGGGAGACTACCAAACACGGCATATAGACAATGTGCATCACGCTTTAGTGATCCTTAAAGACTCTAGCTTCTAATTTTAAGGCCATTTCTATTTGGTGTCRAGGATAACTAACGATCGTTAGCTTGCRCTACAAYTCTATTCGAAATGGTCGGTAAGTGAGGACATTATTAACCATTTTCTCTTTCCGTGTTCGATTTAATAAAATTAAATTTTATGTATTTCTATCTTAGATACAAAATGGCTTTAACYAACTAATATKTTTTTTAACTCGACACTGATCAGCGTTCGCTCTATACATACCTATATATGTTCTGAAGTTATCGCTCCTTTTTCCTCAGCCCTTTTCAACATGCTATATCGCTGCGTAAAAGTTTTTGCAAAAGGCATTGAAGACAATGTTCTTCCAATCAAAGTTAATCCGCATCAAAGGCTTATCACTAATTATAAACCTGTCTCACTACTCTCTCTCTCGTTTCTTTGGTGAGAAGGTAAAAGGTAAAGTAAAATACAGGAAAACGATGAAAACGTGGTCACGTTTACCGTTTGCGGGGAGAAAAAAAGTCATTCCAAGATCCAAGAATAGATGGAATGACTTGAGTTATTGCTCTCATCAAGAACACGGAGGTTCAGTTAGCGTTGAGATATTCAGTGTTTTTTGTAGTCGACAAAACCATTTCTGAAAGGCCTCGATTATTCCTGTTTAGCATAAACCTATTAGCATACTATCTGTCTTGGCATAACCTATCGCCTATCCATTATCGCCAATCTCCTTTGGCCCCGACAACCTTTTTTGAAAGAGGCATATATACGTTTGTGTAAAAGGAAATCTTTGGAAGTTTTAACATTCTAGAAAATATAGAACAGTATATGCTCATATTAATTCTTTACGTTGCAGACGGTCCAAAAGCTAAGGTAAGAAATATAAGTGGAAAATTTATCGCATCGCAACATTTTTCTAACCCAAAAACCACACAGAATCGATTAATTATACAGCTCTTTTGAAAATACGAGTCTCTAATACTTCATACCATCATTGATTATTTCAGTTGTTACTCCTTTTACTTGATTCATTTTTAGTTCCCACTGAAAAGTGGGATTTCCAAATGTAGAATACTGTAACATAATCCAAATTTGGATTTCCAAATTTCAGTTCGTTTCGCTAGCGTCAATATTATTCTAATTTTCAGATATTCAATGATCCCGTACATGGTCACATTGAAATGCCCGAACTGTGTGTCAAAATTATTGACACTCCACAGTTCCAGAGACTTCGGTACATAAAACAACTAGGTATGAATATTTCTGTAGCATACAATTATTTCAAAGAAGGTTGAAGGGGCAAACGACCGATCTAAAAGGTCTTCGCTGAATGGTGCAGGCATTGTTCAGGTATTCTTATCATCCCATAGTTCCTTACGGTCGTGCAATCGCCAATCACCGATCGCCATTCACGGTTGACTCCTTAATTTAACCTTTTTTGAAATAGCTGTATCTAACCCGCGAGTTTCAGCCCAGCGTAGTCTTCCTGAGCTCCAGAATTAAAAAAGTATTACTAAATTTTCGTGTTTTTTTTTTTTCATTTTCCTGTTATAGCCTCGCATGTAACCAAGATAATTTTGAATGAGTCCTACGAGAGACAATTCTTTTCCACTTTACCCGGCAAGGATAAGTGAATCGTAGTTTTTGATTAAAAACCCAACTGAAAATTGCAAACCGAGAAATGTTTACATTATACAGTTGTTTAAATCTCTGTATAGCATTTAATTTAGCCGGAACTGATAAGTAAAAATTTTTTGAGCGAAAAAAACCCAACTGCCAGAGTGAAAACAGAAATGTTTACACAGTATGGACATGCAATTGTCATTAAATCCAAGACAAAGCGACAGGTGACATACCTGATTTTCTCGGCTTCTCTAAGCATTATTAAGCAAGCACCGAGTCACCAGGGCAACTATGTTTTGAGAGAAAAAAGACTTTGATCATCTGCAATGCTATCACCCTGTGGAAAGAAAACGAAAGACTCACCTTTTACATAGAGTCACTGGATCACCTTCAAGTAAACGAGCTTTTCATCAAACGGAGCTTAAATGAGCCAAAACGCTGCTTCAGGGTTCGATAAAGTCATACCTTATATTTACAGATTTCAATGGATAGATTTATTCATTTTCGTTATTAAAAGGTGGATGTTACTTTGTTTATCCTGGCGCTGCTCACAACCGATTTGAACATTCTATTGGGTAAGAACATTTTTTTTCATTTTCTAAAAACCTTACCTTTCATGATACCAAGATATGACAAGATGAAAATATATTGTAAAAGTAGTGTTACACGAGACGACTTGCAACGGCGATTTTTCGCGCAACACAGTTGCGTTAAAAATTGACCTCATTACTATTTTTTGCGGCAACATGTTGCAGGTTTTTGAGCGAGCTTTAAAAAATCCTAACATTGTTGCCATCAATTTGGGTTGCCGTGCGAACCATGTTACACGAGGCCCACTACGCAACAATGTTGCGCTAAAAATCGTCTCAAAGATCAATGAAGCGCTCAGTTTTTGTTCTCCTCTTTGTCCTTCCTATTTGACCTTTTCTTCTTCTCCTACTCCGTTTTCTGTTACGACCTATTTTTCCAATACAGGACAGCCCACTTAGCTGGGCTTTTGGTTGAAAGTTTGAAGTCAAGGCAGGAAGATCTTGGTATAACCGATGAAGACGTGTTGTGTGTCAAGATAGCGGGACTATGCCATGACTTAGGTAGGATATGGCTTGCATGTTAACAGTAAAATACTATGCATTCCACACGTCTATTTATAGTGAATATCAGTGATAAGTTACTTTAAGTTTCAAGTTTATTAAAATTTAAAAATAAGGCCTATAGAGCTGTTGAATTGTGACGAATTTCCGAATCCAATTCAGTCAACCGATAAAATAAAGGGAAAAATGTTCTCAAATGATTCAACCTCGACCTGAAATAATTAGAAATTTGGACAACAAATACTGTTATAAAGAAAAAGTAAAAAAACACAAAAAACAACCTATATAGTAATTTCACTGTTTCGAGTAACCGTTCTGAGCGGGCAACAAAACATACTTTTTTCAGAGGTCCCAGTCAATAAGTGCTTCTATTATCATATCAAGTGTCAAAGAGAACGAAACAAACAATATATATAGCTCAATGTAGAGTCGTTTTCTGTAAGTAGTTGTTGAATTTCATGCTCTCCACGGTCAGCAAAGCAAGCCATCTTCGATAAAACTACTTTTTACTTATGAATGAATTTTTGCAAACGCGCGCGTGATGTTTTTCGTGGTCACGTGACTTCCGGTTTTGATATTTCCCGGTAAACAATGCATTATTTCCCTCTCAGACAACTCGCCGGAAAACAGTCGAATTTCTTCGCGTTCACGTGATACACTCTCGACCAATAGAAATTGAGGAAAATTGAGCTTTGACACTTGGTATGCAATAATATAAGTTAAGTAATTGAAAAATCAAAGACTCTTGGTATGTAACAGCAGTATGTTTGCAAACCAGTGGTCCTCGTCGGTAACACGCTGTATTCTCATAACAACTCCTTTGCCCGCCTTTGCTATGCTTTTTGTGATATTGTATTATGCTATTTTAGGTCATGGACCGTTTTCACACCTTTTTGATGCTTCTTTTGTTCGTAAATTTGTTGACGAAAATTGGAAGGTATGTAAATGAATGATTAAAGAATAATTGAATGAATAAAAAATAGGGAGAGGGAGGAAAAGATAGCGATTAATTTAAACTTGGAACAAGATAGTTCACTAACATGGCGTCCTACACTACCACCACCGAAAAAACTTCAAATTCTATAGCTATTTGATTTGAGATTTGCCAATCAATGACCATCCTCGGAAACCAAGGAGTAAAGTCTTGTCACTTGTTTCTCGCTCCCAGAAAGCGAGAAACGAGCGCCAGAGTGTGAGCGAGATAGATGCGACATAACTTTACCCCTGTGTTCCCGAGGATGATCAATGACTGGCGTCTACTTCCAACATTTTATTCTCAGCATGAGAAAGCCAGCTTGGCTATGGTTGACTTAATCTTCGAGAACCTGAAGGGAAAGGATCCTGAAAACTTTAAACTAAAGGAAAAAGATGTTTTCTTTATCAAGGAACTCATCAATGGCCCAACTGAAGGATCTAAAGAGGTACAAGTTTATGTTATCGATTTTAAAGTTTTGAGTTTTTATACGGGATTTTTTCTCCCAAGGGTTGAAATGAGAAATCATAATAATAAATTTTATTTCTATAGCGTCTAAAACACTAATTGCTCTAGGCGCTTTACAACATTAAAGTATTAAATTTTTACTTTAAATATAAGTTATATATTTATTTAATTATTACTTTAAATATAAGAAAGAGATGAGAAAACATTAAATACAGTAAAAGTGTCTGTTTATAAGCCGCGACATTTGAGAGAGAGAGAGAGATCAGAGCCGGGAGCTTAACACGTCTTCTTATTTATTTCTAGGACTGGCCTTATAAGGGAAGAGAAAAGGAGAAAGGTTTCCTTTATCAGGTAAGTGTGTGGATGTTTCACGAGGTCACAGGTTGTAGCAGTTTTCGTATGACAGTGAAAAAGTCGTTGCCGTATTCGTGCCTTGCAGCGACCCGTTGGAACCGTTGGAATGCAACATTTTAAGTGGTATTCCAACGTGTTTAACTTTGGTTATAAGCCATCGCAGTGTTTTCTAACATCCTGGCGTACGTAATAAAGTGCTTTCTGTTTTCGTTTTTCAATTTTTCAGTTCAGTCCCCACCAGTAAGAAAAAAATCCTTAAAACGGGCTAAATTAAAAAAATAACCACACAGAGCGAAAGAAGTGCTATTTCTCAATGATCGGGTAAAATTTCGAGGCTTTATTTCACGTTTCAATGATTTAATTGAAATTTTTGATGAATCCCATACATTTCCTTATAACATGACACCACAGAAACCAAGCTTGGGCTACCTGTGAGGAAAGGCGAGAGAAATACCGGCACGTGTCCTTTTTTCCCTCTCTTCTTTCGCAACACCGCAGACCGCCACGAAACGTGGGCTATTATGTAGTTGATGTACTAACGACCTTCTAATGTCGAACTTGCTTCTATTTTAAAGATTATTTCCAACAAGGAAAGTGGTATTGACGTGGATAAGTGGGACTATTTCGCACGAGATTGTTACCATCTTGGAATGAAAAGCACCTTTGATCACATGTAAGATATAATATTCCGAGTGCTAATCTTTCAAGGCGCAACTCCAACCGCTTTTTATTGCACAGCAAAATTGCGAGACAAGTTGCATTAAACATAACCGGGACCTCTTGAACAAAATTTAGGACGAAAAAACTTAGGCCATTACGAGAGAGCAAAAATCACAAACATCTAAGGTTTTTTCTCAGATATCTAGACTTCGTTGCTTGCTCCTGATTGGTTCAGGTTTGACTTAAGTTTGATCCCAATGTTTTCACACATGTCGCGATTGGTTTTTCAAGTGGTCCGGGTTAATGTGTCCGCACAGCCTCAGTAAGCAAAAAAATCGAAGTTTCGAATAGAGCCTAGAGTGCAAATAGACGTTATGGCAATGAAACAAAGAAAAATAAAGGCGTTGCGGCGTAAGAGAAAAAAATATAGTGAATCGCTTGAGGCTAAACCTGAATTAACGAGAAATATTTACGATTATGTTTCTTTAAAAGTCAGTAGAGTACAAACACTAAAAGTGTGCAACACTTTGCACTATCTAACAATAGAAAACAATAGGATTAGCATAATTTAGAAGTATTTAGTGGTATTTATAGTGTTTGCAATGTTATGCTTTTAATTAGGCGCTGCATAAAGATGGCACGAGCCATCCGAGTCGAAGAGGACAATAACAAGTGGCATATCTGTTTCCGTGACAAAGAGGTCCACAACATTTACGAGATGTTTCACGTAAGATCTATCCTTCACAGACGCGCTTATCAGCACAAGACATCCAACGCCGTAGAACTCATGTAAGTCATTCTAACTAAATCAGCTAAAAAAGACATGGAGGCAGAAAATCTACAGTTTAAGCATTTTTTTCGAGAATTAACTAACAATATTTGAAGAAATTGTTGAGCATAATACAAAAATTAAGCATTTTTTTCGTTTAAGTTTGGTTTTAACTTAGAAACGGATAGAATCGGAGTYGGAAACATTGTAAGTAAAAACCGCTTGTCATAAGCACAAGGCAAAAAAGTGAAATATTTCAAATCTGATGCGCTCCCGACTCCCTCCCCAGTAAAAACTAGGCTTTAAAGAACCGAAAATCGTTTTCAAATTTAGGATTTTGAAGACGTCGAGAGACGTCTTCCGAGCCACTTGAAAGAGTAACCATTTGCAGATTTAATTACTGTCTTTTCTATTGTGGAGCACTGTTTGCACTTTGAATATATTAAAAAAGGCAGCACTTTCTCCTCAGTTATTTTAAGACCCAAAGTGTTGGTCCCGGCCGGGACTCTAACCACGACCTCCCGCACGAAAGTCCGATGCTCAACCAACTGACTTGAGCCAACCGGTTGACTTGATTTTCAGTCTTGTTAGCAATCATGTAGCCGATTTGGCGTGTGATGTGGTATGGTTTGGTGTGTCGTAGGATTGAGCAATTTTTAGTCCACATGAGTAAGACTATGATGTTCTTGTCAAGACTCGATCTAATGTAGCTAATGAAGATGCTGCTGAAAGAGCAAGCAATGATGCCTTCCGTTTGCCATATCTTTTTGTTTAAAGGATAACTGATGCCTTAGTGAAAGCAGATCCGTATCTTCTATTCGAAGGAAAAGGCGGGTAAGAAAACTGAGCTGTGTGTCAACCAGTAGACGTATGTGGCACCAAAGGCCATTTAATCACACGGCCGGCGCCATGTTAATTTCCTGTGCTGAACCCCGTGTAGCCTAAGCTTAAAGCGGTTAGCTTACGGGGGAAATCTATTCCAGTCAACATGCTGCTGCGTGAGAGAAGTGGAAATGTCCATAGATGGGGTAGACGGCGTCAACCCGATATTTAAACCCCAACTAATAACGTAATTTCCAAGCCCTGCCGATACCGCATGAATGCACATTTGATTGCAACTAAATAAATGGCTGAATGGATTTAATTCCTCAAGATTTCCATCTCCAATGTAGAAACAAGCTGAAGATGTCTGAAGCGATACACGACATGGTGGCTTATACGAAGATAACAGACCGAGTGTATCATCAAATACTTCTTGCAAGTGATCCACAACTGCAAGAGGTCAGAACATCGAAGATAAAGCAAAACCAATAGACCTAATCGGCTAACGCCCAATTCAAACCTTCTGGGAATAGAAGCGTTTGTCTCTACGAATTCAACTCTGAAACCAAAATATTACGAATGAAACTTATTTCCAGAAGGTTTGAATTGGGTGGTAACAGACATAGCAACACGTTAGCCGATTAGGTCTATTGTCATCGCTAATCCCCACCGCAAAGTACAGCAGCAGCACAAGGGGGTCGAAATGAGAGCATGTGAAGCGCCTCTGACACCCGCTATAACACCATTTATCACCATTTATATTATCTATGTATGATCCCAGAGCACAGCTCTAACCAGTTTGAAACAGTTAAGGTTTATTTGAGAGAAGGGAGGGAAAACTCCTCGGAGTCAGAAAGAAAACCAACAACTAAGCTCACATGGGGCAACTGGGATTCGAACTCAGTGAGAGGTGAGCGTTTTACCACCACGCCATCCTGACGTCCCAGCAAAGTCTATTGCAAAGGCAATGAAAGCATGAAAAGCAAATAGAGACACAAACAGGGACTCATACAGGCAGCCCAGTAATAACCCGAACTTGGCTTTCAAGTGTTGCCAATAAAAACTGCTAGAGATACCAAGTAGTTTTGATTGGTGGCATCTAAGATTAAAATTTCGCCGACTAATCAAAGAACGAGGTCCCGTCATATCATTACACCAAGTGTAATCGCAGTCAGGTTCTCCTCCAAAAGGCACCGTTTTTTCACAAAGCATCGTGTGTATGTTCAAGTGACAGCTATAAACTTGTTAATGAAAGGACTGATTAGAATAGCTTGAAAGAGGTTATCCATTGTAAAATATTCTGCCCTAAAGTAAGAAAGAACAGGAAAGTTCACTCCATATTTTTCGGTTCACAGGCAAAGCAAATTCTGGAGAGGATAGAATGTAGAGAGCTGTACAGATCAATTCGGGAACACACTACCGAGGAAGATATTTCAGTAAGTTTTTGTTTTTAGGTGAAAATTTCATTCTGGAAGCAACGTTTATGGCTACTCATGAAAATATTTATGAATTAATCATGGTTCTGAAGCTTTCTCTTCTATGGTTCGTTGTTAATGTTGGCTGTGAGCATTCCTAGAAACCACRACGAACATTATTACATTATCACACTAGTTTTTAGCTAGTTATATCTTCGAACATTATCAATGACTTATTGTTAGCAAAATAACAAGAAACTCGAGAACCACCAACCGACACAAAACATCCGCGGGGACACTCCTATGTAAAAAGGGCGGGGATGATCGTTGGAAAAAATAGAAAGCGTGGGCGCGATCCTGGTTTAATAGGGACCTTAAGCTGCAGGACGGCAACGACGACGACGACGGCAACCATACAATAGCACTAATTGCACTATTCAATAGATACTCGTTGGAATGTAAGTACTATTGCAGCCTGTGTATAAATTTGGATGGAAAGTCTTGGGCAGAAAAAAAGTTATGACGCCGCTTGAAAATTCGATCCAAAATTTGAAGTATATGAAACATCGCGCTGTAGAAACATTAACATTAAATGGATTGCCTTGAAGTTTTCACATATCTATTTCCAAGTATTGCGGATGAGCCTTACGAAAAATCAGAATCAAATCTTAAAAACTCATTGAATAAATGTTTTTTTACTAATTGTCGTTGTAAAACTCAAATATGAGAGTTTTGCTAAAAATCATGTTTTTTTTGTGAAATTTCTACATCTTGTCCTATCCTGATTTTGGAGAAAACTTTTTTTAAAGTGAGGTGTACCTAAAGAGCTCACCTCGCCGGTCGACAACAACGCTCTCGGTCGTTCCACACGGTTAAGTTCGGGAGTATATTTGCATAACGACATCTTCAATGTCATTGTGTTTATGCAAATATTCTGCCGAACCAGTCCCGAAGTTAACATCGTGGAATGTCCGAGAGCGTTGTTGTCGACCGATATTGAATTAATTATTTCTAGCGGGATGAGCTCTTCATTTACACCTCACTTTAAAAAACGTTTTCTCCATACTTTGGATAGGACGAGCTGTAGAAATTTTACCACCACCTAGATAAAGCTCTGGTCTATTGATGTAGGAAGTTTAAAGAAAAAACTTGGAGCCGTTTTGAAGAAAACGGCGAAAATATGATTTTTAGCAAAACTCTCATTTTTGAGGCTTACGACGACAATTAGTAAAAAAACATTAATTCAATGAGTTTTAAAGATTTGATGCTGATTTTTCGTGAGGCTCATCCGCAATACTTGGAAATAGATATGTGAAAACTCCAAGGCAATCCATTTGATGGTTATGTTTCTGCAGCGCGATGTTTCATATACTTCAAATTTTGGATCGAATTTTCAAGCGGCGTCATAACTTTTTTTCTGCCCAAGACTTTCCATCCAAATTTATACACAGGCTGCAATAGTACTAGATGATAAGATACTGAAAAGTTCAGAAAAATCGTACCTGAGGATGAGGAGAAAAAACTCAAAAACTCAAAATAGTACTGTTTGATTTTCGGCCGTAATAGGCTAAACATTTAAAAAATCTTAAAATAAAACACACTGTTAGAATCTAGGATAATCCAAGCAGATTATATGAAAAATACAGTTAAATTGACGTAATAGTTTTGCGAAGGGAGCTAGAATAAAATTGTCCAAAATTCGCTCTGAATTAGTTTGGTTCCACCTTAAGGTCCCTAATTTTAGGCCTAAAAGATACCACTTTGAAACAGGCATATTAAGTATTAAGATAAATCATTTAAAACAAAAGTTTTCGAGACGTTCCATAAGCCAACAGCTTTTCCTTTTTCACTCCTAAAAGAGGGAGTGACTTACCACTTAAAAAAGATACTACGATCATCCGTGCCCTTCGTTATATGGGAGTACCCCCCCTCCGGGGACAAAGCAGCACTGAGGATCGTATGTTAGATAACTCTTGTAAATTACTACGTTTTATTCTTCTTGAAATAACGTCTTTAAATCAAATCAAATCACAACACATTCCGAAAACATAAAAAACCTAAATATTTGCTCTACCGAATTGACAATGTTTGTATTTTGGTCTAGTGTAAAGATGTCGATAAGGCGGATTTCCTTGAAAAGGCAAAGATGAGTGAAGTCAAGAAGGAAGACATTATACTTGACGTAAGATTTTGAAATGTAATACTGATTCAGTACACTAGGCCGCGCGGCAAGGTCACGGTAAATAATTGACAAAATCTATTGTTAGTAATATCATACGTATAGGGCCAATCGCTTGCCCGCATAACACTAATCACTCCTTATTATTGTAAGCTGCGCGGCAGCTGTAGGCGACACCACAAGCAGCCCGTTGAGTCCGCCAACATTTATCCACAGGTAGCCCAAGCTTGGCTTTTCTGTCAGTATATTACAGCAAATCTTTGTGGTTCCTGTGGTAAATCTAGCACAATAAGCCTTTTCATAGTTTAAGAATCGACTCCACTGCGCATGCAAATTTATCCCGAATTTCTCACTTTCTCTTGTCTAAAACCTTCTTTTGTTCTTAATTAAACAAAAGAAGGTGAGAAATTCGGGATAAAATCGCATGCGCAGTGGAATCGATTCTTAAACTATGAAAAGGCTTATAGACCAGTTTCGAGTTCCAAATTACCGCTGTGTTCCTTGATTACAGACTCATTTGCATAGGGTTAGCCTCGTATCAGTGTTTAAATATTCACAAATACCAACGGTAAAGTAAAGAATGCACAACTTCAACAATACAAAAACTTTGAAATTCCACGGACATTCACTGGAACACATGAATATTTTGCCAAAATGGAGGCTAACCATGAGCAACAGAGAACTCGAAACTGAAGTATTTAGCTTCGAAGCTGCCCCTTGTTTGTCGTCAGTCAATAAAAGGAAATCTTTACATCGGTTATCCTTGTTCGTTTTCAGAAAGTGAAATTTGATTATGGAAGGAAAAAGGAGGACCCTGTTAAAAATGTGTACTTTTACAAAAAGAAAACCCCAGATGAAGCCTTTATTTTTAATGAAGACAATAAGGTACATAAAGTAACAAGATTTGTTGTATTATTGCGCATGCCCCATTACCCCTGTTGCTCATCAGATTACATCCGCTCATCAGATTCGACTTAAGCTACGGACACACGATGCAACATTGCGAGCAATGTTGCATGCAATTGATGTTGCGAGCCATGACACACGACGCAATTCGTTGAATGCAACGTTGCTGAAGTAGAAAATTATTCTTGCGCGCAATGGTACATGCTCTTACGGTACACGCCAATTTCAAAAAACGTTGTCGGTGGATGAACTGAGATGGGCGATCTGAGGATAAACAGAATTTGTGTACTTTTCTGGCTAAAATATGAAAAATCACATTTCTAACTTGAAGATCATTCTTCGTATTCCAATCTAAAAGGAAACTACGTTGTTCGGCTTTGAATGTATCGCAATTTGTAGTTTCATTGTTATTTTTATCTCAAGGCATTTTAAGTCATGTAGTTGCACCCCAAGATTTCAAAAAAGGTTGTCGAAGAGAGCGGAGACTAGACGACAGACGATGTATCATATGAGCGATAGGTCATTCCAAGACCTAAGAATAGCTGAAATGACTGGTGTTTCTTAATATTCTTATCAAGAACACGGATACGGTCACAGGCACCCTAAACGTGGGTCCTGTTTCTGGTTAAGAAGGGAATCTATGAGAGTTATGATGAAGATATGACAATAAAATGTTTCACTCGACGATTTGTTTTAAGACTTGCTAGTGCCTGTGATTCGGTTAGTGTTCAGCTGTCCATTGAATCTGGACAAAGGCACCTTGATCTTGTTTTAGTTTTCATAAGCAGTAGGATCCATATAGGTCAAACGGTTTTTATAAGATAGGACCTGAACATACGTCGAACGGTTTTTATGAGATAGGAGCCGAACATACGTCGAACGGTTTTTATGAGATAGGAGCCGAACATACGTCGAACGGTTTTT